GGACAGGACAAAACTGCTCCTGTGGGTTTCCAAGACTGTAACTCTATGGCAGTCGAAAACCTCCTATTTCTCCTGCAGAGTGGTGGGTGGTTTCAAACAGCTGACCTTGCAGTTAGCAACTAGCACAAGTTACCCACCAAGCCACTAAGGCTCCTCACCACCAGGGTCCCTTTCAAATTGGAAACCACTTGAAATGGTAGTGATTTACAGAACTTTAGTTACCATGCTAAAAAGCAGTTAAAGCAGATGGGAAACTCTAAAGCGCTCTTAGGCCTCGCATGTGACTCAAACCAAAGCACAGTCACTGCACTGAGCTGATTCCGACTCAAAACAGCCCTAGACGACAGGGCAGCAGTGCCTTTGTGGGTTTCTCAGACTACTCTTCATGGGAGTAGAAAGCTCCATTTTTCTCACATGGAGCAGCTGGTAGTCTCAAACTGCTAGCCTTGCAGTTAGCAACCCAACATGTAACCACTATACTACCAGTGCTCTTTTCCTTCACATGGTAGAGGAAAGGGGGAAACCTGATGAAAACAGACAGAATGCCTAATGCACCATCTTATGAAAAAGAGAGAGCGAAAGTGATGCTTTTCTTCTTTCGACAAGTGAGACTGTGGACCTGGGCTACTCTGTCACCCAGAAACTGGGTTTCTGGACCCAGAAACTCTGGCATCAACCCAGAAACAGCCAGAGGGGTTGTGCACCCCTCGGAGCTGCCTCCTGTCTGTCCTGCTCTGCACAGCTCCCCCTCATCTCTGCCTGCTCTTCACTGGCCCGCGCTGTCCTGGCCTCTGAACCTGAGGTTTATCCTCATGTGCATGGTGCCATTTCACTGAGCATGATTTCCCTGAAGCCAGCTCAGAATATCTGTGCAATGCATGCAGGTGATAGAAGGGAAATCCATCCTAGAGAAGCACCTGCTGTGGTGGGCCACCCTGGCACTCACCTGTAGCGCACCTGTTCCACAGTGCTGTAGGTGAGCTGGCTGCTCAGGTTCTGACTGTGAGGGTTACCTAGCAGGTTACAAAGACAAAGATGTCAGGTCACCACTTAGGGTCTATACATTTCTGTTCTGTCACCGTCTTCTTCCTATGTTTCTCCAAAGGTGAACCACAATTTTTTCAGAGCTAAACAATCTAGCCTATGGCCCAGAAATTTGACCCCTAAAGAAATGAAACCATCCATCCATCCACACCGAGACTTAATGCAGAGACATTCAAAAGGGCATTATTCATGCCAGCTAAACTCTGGAAATAACATCAATGCCCATCAATAAGTAAGCAGAAAAATAAGGTATAGTCATAGAATATTATTCAACAACAAAAAGGAACAAACCACGGACATACGAGGTGGTATCCCCGCCCCGAAAAAAGAGGAATGTTTTTTTAAGCTATATATTTAAATTTGTTTATAAAATAACCTTATTACCTCCAAAATACACTCTATTACACTTAATACATTTGTCAAATCTGCCATTCCACTCTTGGAAACATTTTTCAAACTCATCTGTTTGGCTGGTTGATAGCATCACTCCCACCCCCCCACGTTTTTTTTTTTTTTGCTCCACCTCTGCTATGTCATCAAATCGCTGTCCTTTCGTGTCCCTCTTAATTTGCAAAAACAAAAAAGAAGTCGCACGGAGCAAGGTCAGGTAAATAAGGTGTGTGGGGCAAGAAAGGTATACTGTTTTTGCCCAAAATTGGTGCACAGAGATGGCTGTGTGAGCAAGTGCATTGTCATGATGGCAAAACCAGTCCCTCATCTGCCACAAACTAGGCTTTTTT